TGAAGCAGTTCACATTCCAAATCACAAGTTCACTGTAAATGTTGTCCGGAATCTTAGCCAGAAAACTCATTGGCGAATCAAGACCCACCTTGCTGTCAGTCACTTGGATGTAAATAAAATTAATGTGAGTATTAATTTAGTTCACTGGCTTGTGACTTGTTCTCTGGAATATTGCTTGTTCTATCATGTCATACAATAACCTCGGTGGCATTGCTGTCGACAGACTATAGTAGCTGATATGCGCAAGGTTCTGGCAAAAAATCCTCAAGTAGAGCAGCAAAGGTTGCATAGAAGAGTTTTTCTGGACAATATTAATCCAGAAAATCAGGCTCTTATGGTAAGGCTTTTATGCTGTCATTTTTCAAAGTTATGAACTTTTCTACTCAAAAAAATACATGACGAAAATTGTTGGTCTTCCAATTCTTCACTTTGATTCCCAAGGTCTTCATAGAACAAATGGGAAAACTCATTTGATTTTCCAATTGATCTTCAATCTCCATATACTCTGCTCCTCCCTTTTGTTTTCTTCTTTTTTTATTAACTATTTTTTTAATGATTGTTCTTATCTCAAGTTTGTCTCATAAACGTACAATTTTGTGACAGATTTTGGTGTCTTGCTTTGTTAAAACATCTCATATTGAGGAGTATCTCTGCGTCAAGGTAAATACTATTTTATTGGTAGAAGCTTTATGAAATAATGATGCCCGAAAAGCAAAATTATATAATAGAATCTGATAGTATAATTCTTGACCAACTTTGAAATGGACGCCGATACAAATTTCAGGAAGTTTTCTAGAGATGCTGAGTAATAATGACCTTAAAGCCATAGTATGAGAGTAGGTGCTTTCTAGTTCTCAATTCTGAAAGTTAATGCTGAGATTTATTTAGTACAATGGGAATCCATAACCTTGTCTGAATATTCCGACTGTTCGTGGATCTTCCCATCACATACTTGTTCCACAAGCTCATAGTGTCACATAACCTTGGATGTGGATTGTATCATTCGTGTTGTTTGCTAATTCTGCTTTCCAAGTTCCTTGTTGTCTGCCTGAACTTTGTAGATGTTTATGGATATCGTAATACCTTTAAATATTGGGAAGTGTTATTGGCACTCCAAAAATCTCATTCTACACTCCTCACAAGTGTATTTTTCTTTCAAAATATAGAAAGTTTGGAGTGTAGAATGAGATTTTTGGAGTGCCAATAGCAATTCCCTAAATATTTCATTGTAATTATAGGCATTGAGAAAACCTTGAATGTATATCTCACGAACTCTATTGATGAAATAATACAGGAGGCAATACTTTTGGATCTTCTCAGAGTTATTAGCCATCACCATGCCCGGCTTGCCACACCCATCCGCACAGTCCAGAAATATTACAGTGAGGGTGACTTGGAAAACGTGCCATTCGCTGACACCATTTTCACTCGTTCTAGGGCAGCCACTAACCGTCCGTATCTACTTATTGAACCATCTTACAAAATCAGTAGTGACGACAAAGGCAAGGCTTCGACTCGCACAACGCGTGCAAATGGAGAAAAACAGGCCCAAGCTGAAGCAGCCTCGCCATCTGACTCCAAGGGATCAGATGCTAAAGCTGGGCCAGCCGTAACACATGCACAAACTGACGATAAGGCTGCAGTGACTTCAAGTTCCAACTCAAGTACAACCTCTAAGGCTTCTGAAATGCCAACACCCGAACCCCAAACATGGAATCCCACATCTGATGATTCAGTTAGAAACAACTCCGAAATGCTGCAGTCCAAGAACGAGAGTATAAAATATCCAGGGAAGGAGACAACAGGAGCTGATTCCAAAGGTGTGTCTCCACAAAAGGTGACGGCTAAGAAGCCTCATGTTGCTTCACCCGAGACTGGTAGTGAAAAAGCAGATGTTCCTTTGACCATTACACAGCCAAAGCAAGATGGCGAGAAGCCTGTTGCAGCACCATCGACAGCTAGGCCTCCATTAGAAGAGAATATTATCCTTGGCGTTGCTTTGGAGGGCTCAAAGCGAACGCTTCCAATCGAGGAGGACATGTCTCTATCTCCTACTGCAGTATCAAAAGAATTCAGTGGCAGCCGTAATGGTGGTGGGTCTCCTTCCGTTGGCACGGATGTGAAGGATGGTTAGATGTCCATGCGAACTGAATAGCAGGACCGAGAAGGCTACGTACAATGTCATATTCTAATTGAAGTGTAAAAATGCATGCGGCTGAGTTTTTGAAGCTGCCATTACATTGTCTTCCATGATTGTTTGAAAATTTGTTGGTCTCAGTCCGAAACGACCAGTTTCTCCCATGCCCTGTAATGAATAACTCAAAGTAATGAAGAAAAAAGGTACCCTTACGACGGGTTTACTAACCATTTTGTTTTCAGTTTTTTTATTTTAATATTTTTGCAAAATGAAAATTTAAACGAAAAACATGTTAGGTAAGTGAACCAGCTTTTAAATGAAAAATGAATCGGCTTTTAATACAAAATATGCGCAACTCACATATCAATAAGAAAACAGTTTTTCAAGGGCCAGAAAGCATTGTGTATAGCGCTGTTCTAAAAACTTCCATTTAGTGTCCTCTAGACGCTATGCGGGTGATCATCGTTTTGATTAATCTCTATACATTTGAAAATTAAGAAATGACGTCTAAACTTGCTTAGTCACCCGTGTAGGTCACGATTTTTACGTAGACAGAAAATAATTAACTTTTATTTTTTCCATAATTAAGAGACGTGTTGAGTACAATGACAAACACTTATTATATGCTTGTTCCCCATATTTTCAATATGTTCTAATACTTTTACAATTTATGTGTCATTCTATTTTGCAATTCATATATTTCAATATAATAATTTATTTTAATATGAATAGACATTTATCTATATGTGATATAATAAATTTAATTAAAATTAAAAAAAAAATGCCTAGGCTATGCTTAGACATTAGACTCATGTCCGTCACACAACTAGCGGTTAGTGCCTTTTGGAACCTTGGTGGATAGATAGAGGGACGAAAAAAGTTTACCGACTCCACATATAAAGTGTACACTCTCTAGTTTGTCTTACTATTTTCTCTTTTGGTAGTTTCTGTATTTAGTAAGGGTATTGAAGTTATTTTTTTTAATTTTTTTTTTTAACAATTGATATTATCTACACTAAGGGGGAAGAGGTAGACTTAACCTCACAATGAGTTAGCAATAATGTAATTCAAACTCGCCTTTGATGAGAATCTAATCAAGACCTCACTTACAAATGAAAAGGAATACTATTAGACCGTAATACTAAGTGATAGTAAGGGTATTGATGTTGGTGCCTTTTTTTTTTGTATTTTTATGTCCGCATTGATAATCAGGTTGTGTGTCCTATTTTATGTTTACGTTTGGGTAATTTGTGTTATGTACATTTTCTTTTTATAATTAACTAGCATCTTGTTACACGCCTGCGCTTATGATAATAGACTTTTTTTTATTGTTTTTTACATTGTTTTTTGTTTTAATTTTACTTATTGTTTATAACAGGGGTCCATTATTTGATAGTTTGACTTGACGGTCTAGTTTTTTTTTGTTTTTTTTTTGTTTTTTTTTTTTGTCGATTGACGGCATAGTTTGGGAAAATGGAAAAAAAAGGCTGGACTGGGCTCTGAGTGAGAAGGCCCGGATTTCAAGCCCATTTGAAAGCCTAATTCCAATTTAATTTAACCAGAGTTGTGACCCAATTTAATTTACAGCCGTTCTACAACCACAAGCCCTAAATTGTAAGAAAAATGATGAATACTAAGATGAACTCTTATTATATGCTTGTTTTCTATGTTTTCAATATATTTTATACTTTATAATTTATGTGTTATTCTGTTTTAAAATATAAGTAGACATTTATTTACATGTTATATAATAAATTTAACTAAAATTTAAAAAAAAAAAAAAAAAAACTGCCTAGACGCCTAGACGCTAGGCTCTTGCTTGTCACCCAACTAGCAACTAGCGCCTTTTAGAACCTTAGTCGATAGTTAGAAGAACGAAAAATGTTTATACTCCACATAAATAGTTACACAGTTACACTATCGAGTTTATTGTATTACTATTTTCTCTTTTGGCAGTTTCTGTATTTATTAAGGAGTATTGATGTTAGTGCAAATTATTTTATTTTTTTGTATTTTATGTTCCACGATGAAAATCGAGTTGTGTGTTATCTTTTATGTTTAGGTTTGGATAATTTGTGTTATGTACATTTTCTCTTTATGGTTAATTAGTCTCTTGCCACACACTTATGCGTGTGTCAATTGGTGTTTTTTTATTGTTTTAAATTATTGTTTCTTGTTTTAATTTTACTTATTTTTTATAAAATGGATCCATTATTTGATAGTTTGACTTGACGGTTATAGTTTGGGAAAACAGGCCAAAAAAGGCTGGACTGGGCTCTAAATCTAAAAAGGCCCGGATTTCAAGCCCATTTGACAGCCCAATTCCAATTTAAATTAACCAGAGTCGTGACCCAACTTAATTTATAGAACCATCAAGCCCATTTGACAGCCAAATAAGGCTGCAAAAAACATTAGTTATGTGTTTTTTTAGGATTTACTTACATCTTTACTAAAGATTGGTTCTAAAACATTTCCACCAAAAAAGTTTTCGGTCATTTGAAAGTACATCCAAACAAACTCTTACTTTGCCACCCACCATTAAAAATAAAAACAATGGAATACTATTTTCACACCCACCATTATTCTTAAAATAACTTTAATTTTTTGCAACTTTTTCACTTTTTCTATTAAATAATTATATTAGAACTACCATTTTCAATTTTAATTTTAATTTTATTTACAAGTCTTTGTGCATGTCCTTCAAGGTCATCGTGCAAGAGGGTAAATTTGTCAACAAAATATTTAATTTGATATGGGTGTAAACATAAGGCAAAAGGGTGAGCACAGGAGCACTCTTACAAAAAGACATTGATGAGAGCGTGCTGAAATGTTAGTTCTAAGTTACTCAAAGCCTGGAATCTCGTAGCACCAAAAAAATTCACTGTATTAAACGGAACAGTCAGTGTCGGCATCGTGGTACGAATGGTGGTTTTGTCATTGAATCTCTCCACTGCCGGCTATTAAGGATACAAATGTAATTACATCAGGAAGAGGAAATACTTAGAGATTAAGTAATCTTTATTTGCTAGCTGTAATAGTCTTGTATAAATACCCACAGTGTAACAGTTATGATTAATTAATGTGAAATATTTTACCTAATATGGTATCACTCGCCTCCAGTCTCACGACCCTTCGTTCGATCCCTTTTCCTGCTTCTCTCTGCGTTGCTTCCTCTTTTTCTTCGATCGGTTCTTGATCTTGATCTTGATCGTGTTTCCTCATCGCGATCTCTTCTCAATCTTTAGCTATGGCGACTACTGCCTCTCCATCTTCCGAATCGGCCTCTCCTGTTCATCCGATTCCAGATGCATCTCTCAACCCTAATTCTGCAATTTCTTCCATCACGATCCAGAACATTGGATATATGGTTCCAATCAAGCTCACAACTACAAACTATCTCACCTGGAGTGCTTTGTTTGCTCCGATCCTCCGCCGGTATAATCTTACCGGTCTCGTTGACGGATCTCTGGTAGCGCCGCCCAAATATCTTCTTGATTCGTCTGGCAATCGCACTGCAACTCTCAATCCGCACTATGTTACCTGGTTTGAGAATGATCAGAACATCCTCATTTGGATTAATTCCACTCTCTCTGAATCTTTGATTCCCTACACAGTTGGCGTGACCTCTGCTCGAGAACTCTGGGCGAAACTGGAATCGCGCCTCGCCACTGCCTCTCAGTCGCACATTCACGAGCTTCGTTCTCGTCTTCGCAGTCTTGTTAAAGGTGATTTGACTGCTGCTCAATATCTTCAACAAATTGAAGAAATTGCAGATGCCCTTGCCAATGCTGGTGCTCCCGTGGAGGATTCAGAACTCATCTCAGTCACACTTCATGGCTTACCTCTCGAATTTGACTCATTTGTTGATGCTATTCAGTTTCGTATTGGTTCTACCACTATTGATGAGTTGCATGGCTTACTTCTTAGTAAGGAAATTCAGCTCAATAATCGGAAGAAACCTGTTTCCACTGCCTCTCTTCAGGCGTATCATTCATCTGCTGGTCTTCTTCCGTTGCCTGCAAATTTTCCTCCTCAAGGTTTTGTTGCTTCGCATGCTTCTCAAGGGTTTACTAATCAATGCCGTCCAAATCGGGGTAATTTTCAATCTCGTGGCAATTCTAAACACAACACTGGCCGGAATAACTACTCTCGGAATCCTACTCAACGATTCTCTCGTGGTTCTCGTCCACATTACTCTTCTCCTCGCAAGTTATTCTGTCAGATCTGTCGCCAACCAGACCATGAAGCTTGTGACTGTCCCCATCGCATGGATCCTCACTACACTGGCAAAGCTTCTCATTCTGCCATGATTGCTAATACTTCCCCTCCTAATCCTACCTGGATCGTCGATTCTGGTGCTAGCTCGCACATGACGAATTCGACTGCTCATCTTCAGAATTCAGAACCATATACTGGTCCAGAACAAGTGTATATTAGAGATGGCAAAGGTTTGCCCATTCTCCACTCTGGTGCATCCTCTTTACATACTTCTACTCATTCTTTTTTGTTAAAGAATGTTTTACATGTCCCTGCCTTAAAGCATAATCTTCTCTCTGCGAATCAATTTCTACTTGAAAATTCCTGTTCTATGCATCTTTATCCCACTCACTTCACTGTGAAGGATCTTTCTTCGGGGAGGATGCTTTTTAAAGGTCCAGTTCAACATGGATTCTATCCAATCTCTGCAGCATCATTACCTGCTCCTTCGTCTCATGCTTTAGTTGCCTCTGTCAAAGCTCCAAGACACATCTGGCATCAAAGATTGGGCCACCCTTCTGTGAAGATTGTCAATAAGTTGGCTTCTCAATCCTGTATTGCTGTTGTTGATCGTTTAAATAAAATGTTTTGCTCAGATTGTGCACTAGGGAAATGTTCCAGACTTCCATTTTCACGAACTACTTGTACCTCCAGCAAGCCTCTAGAACTCATTCACACGGATGTTTGGGGCCCCTCACCATCTGTTTCTCATCAGGGGTTTCGATACTATGTCATTTTTCTAGATGACTATACTCGTTATTGCTGGTTCTATCCTTTGAAGTATAAATCTGATGTACTTACTGTGTTTAAGCAATGGAAATTACTTGTTGAAAACTCTCTGTGTTCCAAAGTTATTACCTTACGTTCAGATTCTGGTGGAGAGTTTGTTAGCACTGCTGTCTCTCAGTTCTTATCTAGCTCTGGCATTCAACATCAACTCACCTGTCCTCACACTCCTGAGCAGAATGGGTGTGCTGAGCGTAAGCACAGGCACATAGTTGAGACTGCTCGAACTCTCTTAGCAGCATCTAAAGTACCCCATACTTACTGGGTTGAAGCTTTTGCTACATCTGTCTACCTAATCAACAGGCTACCTACTATCTCCCGGCCTTCTCCCTGGCAGTCTCTTTTCAAGAAAACCCCAGATTATAAATTTCTCAAGGTCTTTGGCTGTCGTTGCTTTCCTTGGTTGAAGCCATACACATCCTCCAAACTCGATCCAAAAAGCAAACCTTGTGTCTTCTTGGGGTATAGCCTAAATCATAAAGGCTATCTCTGTCTTCATCCTTCTTCTCACAGAATCTATATCTCTCGCCATGTTATCTTTGATGAATCCCTTTTTCCCTTTCATTCCTTGCCTTCCCATTCATCACCTCCTGTCCATTCTTCTTCCTCCTCCCCATTTTCCATTCCCTCTTCTCTTACCTTTTCCTATCATCCCCCACCTCTTGTTCTTTCCTCACCCTCATCTCCCTCTGCTCCTGTGAATCCTGCCTCTCTCTCCCATTCCATATCTCTATCCTCTCATCCTACCCCCTTATCTCCCCCTGCAGATCCCTCTCCTTCTCATTCCTCCCAGTCTCCAGCCCCCACCAATCTTCACCCTATGCAAACCCGATCAAAATCCGGCATCTTTAAACCTAAAGCTCTCACTGCCACCAAGCATCCTATTCCTCCCCATCTTGCTGTTGACTATATCCCTACAACCTACTCCCAAGCCTCCAAATACTCCCATTGGCGAAAGGCAATGCAGGAAGAATTTACTGCACTTACCAACACAGGTACCTGGTCCCTTGTCCCATCCTCTTCGTCTCCCAATCTTGTGGGTTGTAAATGGGTTTTTCGGATCAAACGAAAACCCGATGGCTCTATTGATCAGTATAAAGCCCGTTTAGTGGCTAAAGGCTTTCACCAGCAAGAGGGCTTGGATTACACTGAAACCTTCAGCCCTGTAGCCAAGCCTGTCACCATTCGTCTTCTTCTCACTCTTGCTGCTCAATATGACTGGTTCCTCAATCAGCTCGATGTAAGCAATGCCTTTCTCCATGGCACTCTCACTGAATCTGTGTTCATGCAGCAGCCCCCTGGCTTTGAAGATCGATCTAAACCACATCATGTTTGTCATCTTCACCGATCACTTTATGGTTTCAAACAGGCCCCTCGAGCCTGGTATGCTAAACTTCATACGGCTTTATCTTCTCTTGGGTTCCAAGGTTCTCAGAGTGATCACTCATTGTTTATCAAGCAATCTCCCACTTTGGTGTTCATCCTTGTCTATGTGGATGATATTTTAGTGACTGGTCCTTCCTCTGCAGCCTGTCAACAAGTTATATCGCATCTCAGTGCTCTCTTTCCCATCAAAGACCTTGGTGCTCTTCACTACTTCCTTGGCATCGAAGTAAAACGGTCCTCTTCAGGTATCTTTCTCAATCAGACTAAGTATATCTTAGATCTTCTGACCAAGGCGCACATGGAAGGTGCCAAGCCCTGCACCACTCCTCTCAGCACCACTAAGCTTGATCACACTTCTCCCCTCCTTGACAATGCTTCTGAATATCGGTCTCTCGTTGGTGCTCTCCAGTATCTCACCTGGACTCGCCCTGATCTCAGTTTTGCTGTCAATTTGGTTTGCCAGTTCATGCACACTCCACGGATCTCCCATATGCAAGCTGTGAAGCGCATTCTGCGTTACCTCAAGGGTTCTATCGACCTGGGCTTATGGTTCTCTAAGTGTTCCCAGGCTCTGTCTCTACGTGCCTTCTCTGATGCAGATTGGGCAGGCTGCTCCTTAGACAGACGCTCCACAGGCGGTTATTGCATTTACTTTGGCAATTCTCTCATCAGTTGGAGTGCAAAGAAGCAACCTACTGTTGCTCGCTCCTCCACTGAAGCCGAGTATCGCTCTCTTGCTAACACTGCTGCAGAACTCACATGGCTCTGCAAACTCCTTACTGATCTCACTTATCCTCTTCCTCGTTCTCCCCAGTTATGGTGTGATAATATCTCTGCTCTCTCCTTAGCCAAAAATCCCATTTTTCATGCTCGTACCAAACATGTCGAGCTTGATTACCATTACATTCGGGAACAGGTTCTGGCAAATCAAGTCTCTGTGCATTTTGTGGCTTCCCAGGATCAGATTGCTGATATTTGCACCAAGGCTCTGTCCAAGCCCAGATTTCTGTTTCTCCGTTCCAAACTTCAACTGCAACTTTCCCCGTTTCGTTTGAGGGGGGATATTAAGGATACAAATGTAATTACATCAGGAAGAGGAAATACTTAGAGATTAAGTAATCTTTATTTGCTAGCTGTAATAGTCTTGTATAAATACCCACAGTGTAACAGTTATGATTAATTAATGTGAAATATTTTACCTAATACCGGCAAGAATCAGTGCTTGCCCTACAGGCATCATCAATACATAAGAAGCAGCATACTGTACAATAATTAGCTCAAATGAAGCCTATACAAAATTTCATTAAGCTCGACACATGCAATCAGGAGCAGGGTATGTGTATATCGACTGCTTCTCCTTCCTCAGCCTCATCTGCCCCTGTCTAGTTTTGTGCCCATCTGAAACCGCACGTTGGAAATCCGACCATTCCATGCTCTTATTCACGAAAAGTTTGCCCAACAACGCCATGTTTGGTCTAATAGTCTTCAAGTTCATGTAAGCCCGGTGACCCACCTGACGAAACAATTTTTAATCCTGTCAGCTCACAATTCTTCTCCAGTGAAACACTGGTTTTACAACAGGGCAAAAACACGCTATTTACAATGACAGAATTGATGATGTGGATAATCGGAACTATTTCCTCACCATCTTAAAGAAGATAAGTATTTACCGAGTACTGAACTTGATATTCTTACCAGTGCATTGTGCATATTTCCGGGAGAAGCAGAAATGAAGATGTCACTTTGCATGCTCACATAATAGTCAACTGCGGCTAACAAAGAAGCCTTGCCTTCAACTTTGGCCCTTTCCTCTGCAGAGGCAAGACTCTTCTTATCTTCCATATCTGGAAATAATCTTCTCAAAGTCGAGATCCTTGCTTCTCCGCCGTAAACCTAAAAAAAGGAACATACAATTGCTTCTCCAATTTCAAACCACAATGAAGGCATGATGTCAACATTTATTGAGAAGGAACCTAAGGAATTGCATGAAACGCTTGGGGCTCGTTTGTCAACATTTTTGCTTTTGTTTCAATTGAAGAGAGCGGGAAATGAAAATGACAGAGATGAAGATAAGGAGAATATCTAACTAAGACTATTCCGAGTTTTACAAACGAAAACAAAAACAAAAACATCAACAAACGAGCCCCTTGCCATTAGACCCTAAATACCAGCAAAGACATTCTGCTTTTAAGACAAACCTTGTAAGAAGCAAGATAGAGTCGGGTGGTATTGTTGAAGCCCAAAGCTGCTAGCAGCAATCCAATCTCTTCAGGAGTCAATGGGCAACGCCCCTGATTTCTTAAATCCTCATCTGTGAACTGAGATTTTAGGACCCTACCCTGCCAGATTACTTGCCGATATTTTGCAAGGGCGAGTTTCTCAGCTTTACCTCCACCAAAATCACAGGCTGAATGAGCAGCCATGTCCTGTGTGTATGTGCAGGCAAAGAAGTTAATAGGAAATACTAATCCCGCAGATGTAATTAAGATTCTTAGAAAAAGCTTTACGATTCTTCAAAAATCATTTTGTACAGTATATATTTCATAAAACTTATATTAACCCCAATACTCCGAAATGATTACATAATCAAACATGCCAAGGATCTAAAGCTAATTAAAAACATACCTTATCGAAGCGAAGATGCAAAACAACATATTTCCCAGCTCCCTGTTTCTCAATTTCATTTGCCTTGTCCTGTGAGTCACTACCTGCTTTTGGGTTTCTATTGGGAGGGTAGCGGAGACGATTAACAAGGGTTTCTCCCAATTCCCTGATATGAGGAACAAAGGCTAAAGCTTGAAAGTTGACTTTACAACGTAAGTGCTGTATGTTTTGAGGCAATTTGTCAAAGGCCAAACGATGAGAAAATGGGGAGATAGCAGCAACTCCATATCTGTAGCAGTGAAGCACCTTTTAAGTCATGAAAAGATATTCGTTTAAAATTTAGATCCTAAAAAGCAAACTATTGTACTGAAACATAGGCATATAATTCAGATTGGTAGCTCAAGTTGTGCTCAGAAAAGATACTCTAACATAAAACCAAAGGATATTTCTGGCTTAAAGTTAAACCTAGAAAACCATGCTCTTTCCATCCACAAATGACTGTCTTGAATTCGTTCCTCTTATCTTTCTGGCCTTGGAGCAGCAAGAGGTACACGGGAATCAATTTCTGTAATTCAATATACCTTCCCTTCGAGATCTCTTCTGAAGGTGCAAAAATCTATAATGAATTCTGCTTATGGTATTGAATTTTTTGAAACACTGACTCAATCCGTCCACAGTTATTTTATTAAAATCCAACAGATAATGTAACTTGAAAACCTGATGCCTTGGCATGCAGATACAGAAGTATTTCTGTGATGCATTACTAAGTTCTAACTATATGCCATGCACATTAACCAAACAACCTATTTCCCAAAGTCATGTCCCTTATATAATATTACCATGCCAAAACTTTCCTTGTTATGACAACTTCTTTCTGCTATTTACCCTGGTAAAAAGATGACAACTAATGTCCAAGTTTATAACACAAGCTATCACGATCACAACTTTAGGGAATGATACACAGCATGGTCCAATACAAGATGGAATCTAAACTTTAGGACACACAACATATATGATATGGACAATAGTATACGATACAACAACTTTCTGCTCAATAAAGGGTCAAAGCATTTACTGACCTCTGCAATATGGGCAAGGTGTTTTCCAGATACCAATCAGAAGAAGCGTGAACAGGTGCTGTTCTTATTCTAGTAATCCTTATGCCAGTAGCATAATACTCCCTAGTGCTCCAAGAAAATTCACTAGGAAGGGCTTTAACTATAGAAACCTCACCCTGTAGGGCTTCAATAAAGTGATCCACATCAAAAATGTCCTCAAAGGAGCTGCAAAAGCACAAGGAGTTTCACATCAATGGCTCCCCTTGGACAGAAATAATAATTTTCTAGGAACGGTTCCAGGTTAGCATACTCACTATATACCTCGAATCTTGCCACACGGGATTAACTTCAAGGTGTGGAATAACCAAAGTGGCATTCAAAATTTTAGCAACAGCAACTGCATCACAAATCTTTTTTATGAAAAAAAAGACCAAATAAATTAAATTAGACAACCTCATTTTGTACACCTAATTGGCTATAATATTACAAGTTATAGCACAACTTCCCTCACAAAATTTTCAAAACTTACCCCCATTTTCTTCTGGTTCAAGCCTCCGTCAAGGAACACCTGAATATACCAGGTAGATTCTTTTGGCGATGCTGCAAGAAAATGAGCGGAAGTACATCAGATAACAATCAATCCAATGTAACATATAATGTGGTCTTATCTTCAATACTCACATGATAAACTATTAGGCTCTTCAGGGCAATGCTTCCATCCTTGGTTGGGCAACGGAGCCCAAAGCTTGCTCTGTTGATCCACATACTACACAAATTCAAAACCAATATGTAAATACATGTAATCAGATCAACTGTTTATAAGCAAACAACAAATCAAAGGAAAAAAAAAGGAAATGGAACTGACAGATTGAAGAAGTAAAGCCGGATTTAGAAGGCGCAAGTGCCGGGGTTTCGGAGCATTCCACTCCTGCAAAAAAAACCCATCTCAGTCAAACAATTATTCAACAAAATTAAGCATTTCCATTAACAAAAGCTTCAAACATGTGAGAGTGGTTTAGTGGGAAGGAACTTACCGAGAAGATGGAAGGAGCAGCGTGGCTTAATGGGCCAAAGAGGTTTGGCAGGAAGGCCGGAAAGAGGACCACCAGGAGGCCAGCTAAAGCGGCTTTCTGAGACTGGTTGGGGTAGCAGTAGCCATAGTAGTCCTTGTGAAGCTTCATGGGTTGGTTTGGTTTTGATCGAAGACCTACATTTTCACCATTGGTTGCAGATTGTGGTTGTGGGGAAGGAGGGAGGGCGGCGGAGAAGCTCACCGTCGTCAATGGAGATGGCAAAGGAGGACTGAATTGGATCAAATTTTAACGTGAGAAAACCGAAGGAGGAAGCATAAGGGTAATGGTTTATGGTTTTGATTCAGCAGCTGGGGAATTCGATGCGAGTGGGAGCTACTCACATACAGATACAACCGATTTACAGAACAATATTGGACTCAGAACGCGCGCCACGAACCACATGTAAGTTCCTTTTATTACATTCGATATTATTTATATTAAAAAAAAAACGACTTTAATGAAAAACTTTGATACTGTTTATTTTAACGAAAAATTATATTTTTATATTAAAAAGTTAATCATAATACTATTTACTTTATCCTTTATTTTGTCTTTATCGATAAAACTCAAAGTTTTTAAGTCATTTTTATTAATTTTCCTTTAAAAAAATGCAGTGCGGGCTAAATTTTATAGTGAGTTATGCATAATAATTTAGTTGAAACTTGATTTAAAGATAATCGAACCTAAAAGTTCTCACTTACATACCACTAGACCGTAGTAGTGATAGTTCTTTTTAATTTGAGAGGATATGTTTACTCACGAATAATGGAATTTAAGAAAATATAATATTTTATTCTTATGGTTTCGACATGAAATTTATAGGGTAAAAATATGTTATTTGTAAACGATGGAATATGCTCATCCCCCTGGGTATGCAAGTATTTCTAAAACCTATTATTATTAAGGAAAACTAATGAAAATAGTTTGAAAACTTTGAGTTTTAACGATAAGGACAAAATAAAGGGTAATGTGAATAGTGTTATGATTGACTTTTTAATATAAAAATGTGGTTTTTCGTTAAAGTGAACAGTACCAGGAGCTTTTCGTTAAAGTTCCCTTATTATTAATTGCATTAGAGTGGGTGTGGAGATAAATTACTGAGGTGAGTAACAATACTTTCGAAATTTGGAAATTGGCTACAATACTTACATTTATTTTATACAATTACCATTTTATATTAAATATATATACTCGCATGAAAGTAAGAATACGTAAATTTACATGTATTAAATACAAATGCTTTTCTAGGAGGTTTGGAGAAAGCTGCAGTTAATAGGCTTTTCCTAATCTTCATCTCTTGAAAAGGAAGAACGTGAAATTCTTTTTCCTTTGCATGGGGACTATGAGATTGGAAGATATATCAAGAATGTTTGGCTAATAAATAACCCCTTCTTGGTCTTTGTCCCCCTTAGTCAACACGAACGCCCATGATCAGTGTAGTGAGATGTGTTTATTTATCTATCTACTGATTCGAAATGGGAGCAGGTTTGAAAAAGGATTTTAGAGTGTCTATGATTGGGCCCATAGAATTTCTCAATTTTGACACAAGGTACTTATTAGGTCTAATAAGTACATTAAATCTAATAGAATTACTTTGTTGTATCTAGCCTAATACCAACTCAACCCTTTTCATGAATAAAATTTGACCAATTAACCAACCAACAAAAGCGTTTCGTGGTTCAAAAATTTTGAATCTCGTCTAAATCATCACTTGTTAGGATTATTCGGATTGAGTTCATTGACTTAGATAGGACATTTAGTTCATGTCACTATTCCTGGATCCAGGGGAAAAAAACGTTCGATGAAATAATTTCTTAGATATATTGCCATAATCAAACCTGAACAAACAAAGTTTTGAATTGAATTGTACCCTAACAACACCATGACTGGGCTCGACGTCGTGGACATGGCAACAGCTGGGTTGCAGACGGAGGGAGGAATCGGACCTCACAATAGTGGATGTGGCTCGGCAAGAACTAGCTGGAATAGCTAGGAATATTTAATTAGATTAGGTCCCATATATATGCCACATCAGCCACTAACAGAAGTTTTGACAGAAATTTAATGGAATGACGACATTGATTTTCAACACTCATATTCAGGGACTACATTGATCGAATTTCAATTTTAAGAACCACTTTGATTGTGACAGCCTGTCTCGAATTATTTGTATTGTAAGTGTGAAATGACGATTTTTCCCTTGGTGGGTATTTGCCATTTTGGGGTGTTGTTTAATTGTTTTTGGGGGTTGACTCTACAGGACACACATACACACACCCATCATTTTTCTTTCCCCCGTGACTCTCTCTCTCTCTCTCTCTCTCTCCTTCTCACTTGTACGGACGGGACTCAAAACCCTTGCAAACGTGATGGATCAAAGTGGAAAATGGTACCTTTGTGTTCATGAGGACCATACGAGTTCAATCATACCAAATTCAGGTAAGAAATCCTTCGATTTCGCGTCGAACTATGAACCTCCGATTTTGTCACTGTTCATGCACACGTGAAATATTGATTTTTAGGGAATTTGAAGCTTATAGGAAGCTTAGTGAGGTCCTCAGGAAGCTCGGAGTGGTTCGTTGGGTGAAAGTGGACGTCGGGAAAGCTAGTTTTGAAGTTGGCCGGTTTTTCTCGAACTTCTCCGGCGAGATCTCATGATCTTTGAGGTTTCAAACAGGTATAACGTTGTTCTACTCATCTCCAACTTTCCATTAGTGCAAATTTCATAGAAAATGGTGAATAAACGAGTGAGAAACGAAGGTTTTAAAAATTTTCCAATTTCTGGTGATCGACGACTCGCCGAAGACGAAGATGGAATATTCAGTTAGTTTGGACGGAATATGCTGACGCCGTCAGTCAGTTATTTTTAAAATAACTTCTCAACCTCACGAAGATGGAATATCCAAACACCCCATTTGAGCATTGTATGAGAAGTTATTACCTAGTTTTGGTTATGTGCTTTAAATTGACGTTTTTATAGTTGTTTCGCATGTAAGTGAGACCTATCCGGAGGACGAGCACAATCACTCAAGGCTCGGGGGGTTACGACCCTTCCACATACCAGTGAGTGGGCTTTTGGTTTTCCGTATATACCTATATACTTGAGAATTTTCCTAGAAAACGAAATTGAATGTTTATATGTTTTAAATGTCATGCATAGTCTTTGCCTATTTTAATTATGCATTATTAGTTGCATATATTTGTGTTTGTTGCTGCGGACGCACAGGTAAGTGCCAGGTAAGTTATAGTTTATGGTTGTGAATTAATGGTTATGTGAGATGCATAGAGAGCTCATAAACTTGCACCCCGGTGTTAGTGCTCCTGCCCAGAGTAGGGCATAGTCCTTCACGTGATGTTCACCTCCCCTACCACACTCTTATCTTGGATCCAAGTTAGGTGCACAGTCCTGTCGTATAGACCACTTTAGGTGGTTCCGACTCGTAGGTGACTCACGATTATTCGCATAGTCTTCACGTGATTGTAGCACTTGAGCGTACTTATTTATACTCAATCCTGTTGTACAGACCACTTTAGGTGGTTCCAACTCGTGTGCAGGTGTAGTGATTGAGTTGTGGATTTGAGCTTTATATTCAGGTGTACAGGTCATGTTAGGTGAGTCCGGCTGACTTATATTCTGCATTGATTGACATTACCTGGGTTACTTACATCATATGCTGAGTTAGTTGACATGGCTTACATACATACATATTTGTGAATGTTGCTACTCTGAGCATGGTTGTGATATATTTATATATTCTATTTTTCTGGGAAATTATACAGGTTTTACAGAGAGGGATTAGAACTTTTGAGTATGAAATGATTTTGAAAAGCTTTGTTTTTACCCACTCACACTTTCTGTTTTGCACCCCTCCAGGTTCTAGTTAAAAACGCTTTGGTGGTTCATGAGGACTTGATAGTGGTTCTAACAGAACATCACAAATGTAGGATCACCTTTGGGTGTTGTGTAATTAGTATTCGTTCTTCTAGACTGCACTTAGGCTTTTTGTGCTCTGATTTTGTTTATCATACTTAGTCTCACACTAGTGTGTTATTTTAACTAGCTTATTTAGTAGTTTGGTTTTTATTTATTCGTACTTTTATTATTATTGCTTCTGCACCGTGCACATGGCTACGTCACCCTCACATTACGGCCAACACACATTGATTTTGGTCGGGATGTGTCATTGCTTGAGTGGGTTAATTTCAAAGACTATTTATGATAAAAACCCTATAAGACTAAATATACTTTTAAGAGAAAATTAGAATTAGATGCCTCATTTTAGACTTCTGTAGACTAAACATTTATGTTTTTTGAGTTTTTGATTAAGCTTTTGAAACATTTGATCAAGATACTTAGACTTGAACTACTTCAGATTAATTGAAATTAATTTATATTTAAATATCTGCTATATATTTTAAATAATTCCAACTATATTTAAATCTAAAAATTTAAACTTTTCGAATTTAAATGTACACCCACGCCAAATGGAAACGTATCAACATTAAATGAAAACGTACCAACGTCAAATGAAAATGTACCAACCCTGAATTAAAACGTACCCAATTATAAACTATATTCAAATGAATATTCATCCTTTTGGAAAGTTTTAAAATATGTTTGATTCATACACAATGCTATAGTCTTGTTTTTTTTGGTAGATAAGTCTTTGGAATAACTTTTAGTTGATCAGAGATAAATCCTTATTATTGTAGATAATACCAAATAATAACAATAAATCATATAATTTTGAATTAACAAAAAGGCTATTGTCAGTTAATTAATGAATCTTTCTATAAAAAAAAAAATAATTAAAGTAATTTAAACTTTTACATTGTTAGCGACTCTTTCTATAAAAAATAATAATTAATTAAAGTAATTCCTCATTATTAGGACAAAAGGTAATAAAACTTATGTTTTGAAAACAAACGTACCAAAAATTCAAATGTATCAAGAAGCCAAATGGACCAAAATTCAAATGTACCAAGTAGCTAAATGTACCATTATAACCAAACGTACCTAATAACGAGTTTTGTTACATTCTATTTGATTTACTAAAATAAATATTTTAATAAAAAAAAAATTCTTAAATCATCATAATAAGAGATGCATAAAAATGGGAGGAAAAAAAGGAATACTAACGTTGTAATATCCCACATCGCCCAGGGGAGTGATCCTTAAATGTATATTCTTATCCCTACCTAGCACGAGGCCTTTTGGGAGCTCACTGGCTTCGGGTTCCGTAGGAACTCCGAAGTTAAGCGAGAAGGGGGCTTGAGCAATCCCATGATGGGTGACCCACTGGGAAGTTGCTCGTGAGTTCCCAAAAACAAAACCGTGAGGGAATGGTAAGCCCAAAGCGGACAATATCGTGCTACGGTGGTGGAGCGGGCCGG